ATGAAGCCTCCACCCTCCCACCCAAGAAGGTAACAAAGAAAACCAATCAAGGAAAGGATGTGTAGCATCCCAGACAATATTGCGGACCCTGGTCAAGCATCGTTTCTATGCCATGTCCTGGATAGAAGGAAGTGAACTTCCAATAATATTTTCTGCTGTCCTCACTACTCTCTGCACAGCCTTCCTGTCTGAAACCTCCAAACCACACAGTAATACAATACGACAGGATGCCTTCAATAATCCCTCTATAGAAAGTGGAGATTAGATATAGATAGGTAGGTAGGTAGGTAGGTAGGTAGGTAGGTAGGTAGGCAGGCAGGCAGGCAGGCAGGCAGACAGACAGACAGACAGACAGACAGATGATGGATGCATGGATGCACGGATGGATGGATGGACAGACTGACAGACAGCTAGACTGATCTCAGCTATTCCTGAGTTATTTTAATCAGGATCATGCCACTTTCTTCTAGCAAAAGCTACAATTTAAAATGGAAACAAAAGGGAAAAAATACACCTCAGAGGACTGCTTAGGAATGGGTCATCCAATCATGAGGTTATCACATGAGACATTCTGTTATTTTGGGTGAGCTTTTTGGATTTGTAGATGTTAGAAAAAATAAGTATCATTGGCCTTTTTTAAAGAAAAAATGAAATTGAGTTTTTTTTAACATTACAGTTAACATTGCTTAAAAGGCATTATGTAACTCTATTACCACTGCAAAAAGGCTATATAATTTAGAACAGTGTTTTTCAAACTCGGGGTCTTTAAGAGGTGGACTTCAATTCTCAGAATTCCCCAGCTGGGACTTGAAGTCCACACATCTTAAAGTTGCCAAGTATGACAAACACAGCTTTAGAAGAAAAAAACTTAGCACATTATACAAATTAATAAACTAAATAAAGGAGGGGGACTATTCTAAACCATCTAAATAAAAATTAAAACATGAGAGAAAAAGATTCTTAAATACTACAAAACATATAAGGAAAGAATCACAAGAAGAAAATCATTGGAAAAATATCTAAATATAGAAAGAAGAACTACTAACATATGCAATGAGAATAAAAATCAGATTTCATTTTTCTACCCTGCAAGGCCCAATATTTAGCCTACTTTCAACACCAAAAAAGTTATCTGATTCCTGCTATGATTAGAACCAGGAATTACTGTATCAGGATTACAAGAGAGATTAAGATAATTCTCAATGGGAGTTCTGGAACCAATTAGAGATTGTATTTATTTCTGCAAGCTTTTCGGTCCTTAGGTTTACGTATTTTATCTTTGGCTATCAAGGGAGCCACATAGATGTATCTATGAGTTTAACCAAATTGCTATTTTAATCCTTTATTGTAATTTTTCTTTTTGATTGTATTTTATTTAATTGGTGACTTTTACCTTTCTTAAAACTACCTTGATCATTTTTTTAAAACATCATCAGCTGTTCAGCCTGTCACTTCTGGAGGAGAAAGCCAACATACAATTATTGTGATTAATTATTTTCACAAAATCAAGCAAAATGTGCTCAGATTACAAATGAAAATTGCACTGCACATTTTTTTTTAAAAAAGCACAGTGATTTGAATGCTTATGACTTATTTTCTGAATGACTACCTATCTTGGCACCATGCCATTGGTCACATCCTTGGTGGATGTCAAATAAATAAAAGTACTATTATCTGAAGGGGGGGAATTGCTCCATTTGACCTTGCCACTGAAAATTGGCTAATTAAGAGGAGAATCAGTGCAGTTTTAAAGGATAATGCAGAACCAAAGTGATTGTGTTCTTCTAATTCATTACAGTTAAGCAATCTTCCCCAATTTGCCAACTCCCAGAATTCCCCAGCCACCATATCAAAGGCCAAAAGATCATGCTAAGAAGGAATTCTGGGGACTGCTGTCCCAAAACATCTGGAAGATGCCAAGTTGGGCAGAACTGAAGTAGAGTAAGCCTTCAGTTATACAGATAGTCCTCAACTGAACCCAAAATTTCTGTTGCTAAGCAAGACAGTTGTTAAGTGAGTTTTGCCCCATTTTACAACCTTTCTCTCCACAGTTGTTAAGTGAATCACTGCAGTTGTCAACATGCTTGTTAAGTGAATCTGGCTTCCCCTTTGACTTTGCTTGTCAGAAGGTCGCAAAGGGTGATCCTGTGACCCCCATGCACTGCACATGCACTGCAACCGTCACCAATAGGAACCAGTTGCCAAGCATCTGAATTTTGATCACATGACCCAGGGGAATGCTGCAATGGTCATAAGTGTGAAAAATGGTCACAAGTCACTTTTTTTAATGCCACGGTAATTATGAACTGTCACTTAATGAACTGCTGTAAATGGAGGATGACCTGTAGTATATGCTTGATGTGGAAGTATTGACTGTCTAGAAACAATCTTTTCAGTTTCCAAAATGGGAAGAACTTATGATGCTTCAGGGGAGGCAAAGGGCCAAGAAAAAAAAGCTACTTAAAAGAAGAATACTTCCGTTTTTTAAAAAAGTCCTCTTTGGCTGATTCAGAAGGTGATACTAGCTGTTTCATGACACAGAGTGAGATGTTGGGAAACTTGAACAGATACTCTTTTTTTCAGGATGAAACACAAACATGGAGGGGCAAGAAACATCATTTATGGCAGAGCTCAACAACTAGGCTGCCCACCCACCCATATTTAAAATGTTTTAAAAAGTTATTTTAATTAAGAATAAAGACGAAATTGAGTGCAGCACAGCACCAACCAGCAGTATAATTTTTATGCAGAGTAATTTTATACATAAAAATTATTACCTAAAAAATTACATAAAGACTGAAGAATGATGGTGAATTACAAGTCAGGGCTTTGAAAACAGGACCTTTGGGCCAGAAAACAAACAGATGAGTAGATATAAATTACAACTATCTAGATTTCATTTAAATATAATGAAAAACTTTCTGAACAGCAGAACAATTTACCTTGGGATAGTGTAGGTTTTCCAACTCTGAAAGTTTTTAAGAAGAAGCTGGGCAACTACCTCTCACAGATGATTTAATTGATTTACCTCTCCATTCTCCTGGCTGGAGAATTCTGGAAATTGAAGTCCACGCATCTTCAGGTTGTCAAGTTCAAAAAACACTGATTTGATTTATGAATGAATGAATGAGGGTTTCCTGCCTGAGCAGGGGGTTGGACTAGATGACCTCCAAGGTCCCTTCCAACTTTACTACTATTACTATTTATATAGCCGCTCACTGTGACAGATGGTCCTGGGCGTAAGACCACAATTGAGCCCAAAATTTCTGTTGCTAAGCAAGACAGCGGTTAAATGAGTTTTGCCCCATTTTATGACCTTTCTTGTCACAGTGATTAAGTGAGCCGCTGCCATTGTTAAGTTAGTAACATGGCTTCTTCACTAACTTTGCTTGTCGGAAGGTCACAAAAGGTGATCACATGACTCTAGGACGCTGCAAACATCATGAATAGTTGCCAAACATTTGAAGTTCGATCACGTGACCATGGGGATGCGGCAAGTGTGAAAAACGGTCAAAAGTCACTTTTTTCAGTGCCGTTGTAACTTCAAATGATCGCTAAACCAATGGTTGTAAGTTGATGATGATCTCTTTTTTTTTTTTTTTTTTTTTGCTATTTTATGAGACTTTATTAAGACAGGTTGCTCTCAAAATTCCAGATGTGCCTTCTGGTCCAGAGATTGACTGCTTATGCTTGTACTGTGGAATCTGTATTTCTTAGCAAGGTTGAATGGAAACACAGATTGTCTTTAGAGGAGCTCTGGTGCCTCATTTGTACAGCCCTTTGTTAAACCACTTATGTAGCCTGAACATAAGTCTCTCATTTCCTTATAGAGCATTTTCAGTTTTCATTTGAATCTTGTTTTATTTCTCTCTACAAAATACGGTCTGAAGCATATGGCCCTCTTGGGTCGGTCTCTCTCTCTCTCTCTCTCTCTCTCTCTCTCTCTCTCCCCCTCCCTCCCTCTGTGTCTCCCTTTTCTTTCTCTCTCCCTCTCCCTCCCTCCCTCTCCCTCTCTCCCTCCCTCTCCCTCTCTCCCTCCCCCCCTCTCTCTCCAGCACACCCATCTTTTGCATTTTTTAAAAGGATACTGCAGACCATGAAAAAGCAGCAAATGGTTGGCCATTGGGATTTATTCTGGAGACAGTTTTATTCCATGGGAGAGGAGAGAACTTTGTGGAATTGTCTGCCCAGGATACCAGATTAACTGGCCTTGAGCCATGTGTCACTTGATACAGAGAGGAGGAGGACATGTCATTAGCTATTATGTCTCCAGCAGCAAAATATATCTTTAGAGAGGTTTGGCAAGAAGGTAATAAGGATGCCAATCAAAGAAATAACAAAAGTCCTCACTTGTGCCTGTGACTTGGGGAGGTATCTGTCTGAGCCATTTCTGAATATTTTCTGTCAGTTGTAGACTTCAGATAAATTTCACTCCTCCTTGCTTTGGTAGCAGAGCTTGCATGTCTCCATTAAGATAATTTTCCTTATGAGCACAAAGAGCAGAGAGCAAACTGCAGTCCCTTCCAGCACTGATGATGTTACCTAGTAGGGTAATGAAACGTCTGCAAGGAAACAGCCAGCTCAGAGCAGCACCGAGAAGTCCACATTTCGACCCTGAGCAAAAGATATTCTCTTCTATTGGTATCATTTTCCTAGTTCTCTGTAGACTACCAGCTTCTCCAATTATATCCAAAAGCCAACCAGGAACCAATTTTCTAGTAACATAGAGATTTACCAGTAGATTTTAATTCCAAATTGCTGCATTCCTGCTAAGTGGGTGGTGAATATTGTAGCTTCACCTTTGCCACAAACTCATTTGACAGACAAAACCCAGCTCTGATCTCAGTCAGAATTATTTCTATGAGAGTCATCCTCTTGCATTTCCTTTTTCTCTTCTTTTCAGACCTAAACCACACGAAATAGTTTTGGTCCCTCTGTGCTCGCAGCAGCCATATCAGTGAGCAGCACTGACTGCAGCTTGCTTTATCATATTTCCCATCCTTGACTCATCGTGACTGTCAAGTATTAGCCCAGACTTTGTAAGGACGTATATAAGGAAAGAAAAAAAAATATCAAAGGAAACTGACAACAGCTAAAAAGGAGATATATGCGGGTTTTCAAGCCTTGAAACCTGAACTGAGGATAAGGTACTCTGGGGGGGGGTGTGTGTCAAAAAGTCAAAATAGTTAATTGAAGGACACCTCTTTTTTAACATGCATCCCTAAGAGAATGACCTTGGGGGGACAAGAGGAAAAGCCACAGTCTACTCAATAGTCTGAAGAGAGATATCTCAGCCCGCAGGAGGAATGGGGGTGGGGGGTGGAGGGTGGGGGGTGAAAGAAGCATCTCAGGAAGGGGCCTAGGACAACTCGCCGTGGCCAACTTGCTGCAACCAACTTGCCACAGGACAAGAGTTACACTAATATCAAAAAAAAAAGGTGAAATAGAATCATTAAAGAAAAGATGCAAAAGAAGGGACAAAATGAAATGTGAATGACAAAAATTAATTTTTAATTATTTTAAATAATTAAATTGAATTGTTGAATTGTCCCATGGTGAGTTGGCTGTGGTACCAGAAAGGACCTCCCTAGTTTTCAGGAGAGGGGAGAGGTGCTTTCAGACTTGCAAGATTCATTTACTTATGCTTTGCATTCCTTATTTGGAGTACCTGAAAAGGCCGGCAGCATCAGAATATGCAGGAAAAAATGGGGTGGGACTTCTATTATATAGTCACAATTATCTTGACTTTCATGACACTTACCAACAGTAAACATCATGACTCAGAGTCCATATACCAAGCTGGACCAGATGTAAGATGTATTTAATCTGTATTTATGGGTTTGGTTCTATAAATTGCTAGGAATTAATTAAGGACCTTTTCCTTTTTTTACATGAACCAGATGGTTTTAATTGGCTTCTGGAAGTCTATTTTCAATGAAGCCAATGTCACCTCCAGGGAGAAGCCATGCCAGAGGACTTGGGCCATCATGGAGAACCACCATCTTTGGAATTTGGGCCCATCTGCTTCCTGGAAATGGGACACTCCCAACATTTACTTGTGGGAGGGTTACTTTGGACAGGTTGAATCCAGTTGTATCTGGCAATTGTGAGGATATCCAGGCACCAAGCCATATAACTTAAATTGTGCCCAGTAGACAATTGGCAACCAGTGCAGATCTTTCAGTACAAGAATTATATTGTCTCTGAACCTTGCGCTATTTAACCAATTAGCTGCTGTATTTTCATCAGTTGCAGATCAGCCTCTTCCAACTTGATGCCTATCTCAATTCCAATATCTCCTGCAAACATCAGGATATCATCGCCCAGAATTACCCAGGCACTTTTGAAAATTCTGGAAAACAAAATCTAGAGTCCAGACATCTGGAAGGCAAATGGGGGGAGTGGGGAAAGCCATGTTAGACTTCTATAAACTTCAGTCAACATGACCAACAAAATATTATATGGATACCTTGGTGCTTTCTGAGCTTGTTGGTTTTCTTGCAAACATTTTATTACCAAACTAAGTAACGTCATCGGCACTGATGATGTTACTTAGTTTTATAACGAAACATCTGCAAAACAATCACCAACCTCAAAAAGCCTCAAGAACCCCCTCAGTTTAACCCTGAGTACAAATATTCTTTTCAATTAGTAGATATCAACCCCAAATTATAGAAGTCTGCCATAACTCTGAGAGGAGCTGATATTTTGGATTATCAGATTCTTCCCAAGAATCTAAGATAAAAGTATTATTAACATCAGTTCACAACAATGTCAAGTCACAGCTGCCAGTGGGCACTGGCCTTCATACACATTGAGTTTTCCCCAAGAACCTAGGATGTCATAATATATTGACATAGTATTCATTACATACAGATCTGAGCAGTTTGGCCCTTTGCTATTGACAGATGGAAATGTTGTTAATGTGAAGATTTTCTAAGTGCCATCCAAGATTTTTTAATATGACGCCCAGAGTTCCAGTAATCACTGGGATCACCACAGCCAGTTTATGCCATAATCTTTCGATCTTCAGATCTTGATACTTTCTGATCTTCTCCAATTCTTCTTCTTATTTTGTGTTGCTGTTGCTATGATGGCATGCTCCTTCTTTCCTACAGTGGGGCATATGTTCAGATCCCTTAAACAAAGGATGCAAAGTAGTTTAAATCTTCTGCTGGTGAAATTTCAAAAAAAGCACAGACCAAACCCTTTTCCTGAGAGAGTCATGCAATCTCACCACAAATATGCTTCAGGCAGAGTTATTGCTGTTTACTGTGAGTAGGGAAATGTCAGTATGTGCAGTTTTTGAATTTTGGGGAGAGAACCAAATTTCCCCTACAACTTCCTACATTTCAAAAAATTGTCAGGGCCAGAAATTCTCTGAATTGTGACTTCACCAACTGTGGGTTAATATATCAGGGTTCCTGTTCCCACCATTGTTCCTTCCTTAGTGCCAATGTCCTTGTCCCTGCTGATTTTAACAAAAGTGAAAGTGGGGGAGAGAAGGACCTCTTTAAGCCCAGAAGGAGTTCTTACATTCATGTCCCACCTGTTACATTTTGATGCTTCAAACCATGTAGGTGGCAGCCAAACTCACATAAATGAGATTCTGGGTGGAATAACCTTTAAAAAAAATGAAAACAGTTTAAACAATTAATAGACAATTGGGAATTCTTAACACCGCTTGCAACTCATGATTCTATCATCTGGCCCAAGTGTTTAATGCTATTATAAAAACCAGCCAGCTGGGGATGTGTGTGTGTATATGTGTATCCCCAGCCGCTGGTTTTTAGATATATTTATATGGGAGTTGAAGTCCACACATCTTAAAGTTACCCAGGTTGAGAAACATTGTTCTAAACATTACAGTAGAAACCAATCATATCCTTCAATGTTTATTGTTTCAGTGGAGAGCTAAAACTATCTGCTGTTTTATAAGGCTGCCATTTCCAGATTTGTTAAATCCATATGATGATGGTTCAATAGAAACTCTAAGCCATATGCTATTGTACAACTCCCTATATAAGGACTCTAGACAGAGCTTTATATATCCTGTCTTGAAGAAATTTCCAAATAGGGAATGTGATTTCTATTTAATGTACTATTCTCAGACAAGGAATCAGAAATAATCTCTTAAGTCACCCAGTTCTGGGCTACCATTTGTATGATATGCCATACAGTTATTTAGGATCAGAACTTCTTATAATAGTGTTTTATTTGGATTTATTTTAGTAACTTGTGCTTAATTATTTTTAGATTCCATTATATTTTTATAACTCCTTTATACTTATTGTTTATCTCTTGTACACAAATACACCCATATATAGAAAAGGATGTAACACGTCTTTTATTCAATATTTTATTTCTATCAGGGCTGTCATAAATAAATTTGAATTTGATTTGTTAAGTTTTGTTATTTGTGTCAGAAGCATCACAGTTGAAATAAGGCATATTATATCACATAACATTTAAAAAATAAAATACAAGATTAAAATTAAAATTAAACAAATCCTGCCTGGAATCTAGCAACATTATCTGTTAAATAAAGAACATCAAGACAGAAATAAGTGACCCATTCCCGGCTACTGTTTTTAAGAGAAGATTTTGTGCATCACATCCAGCACTAGAACCTTTGGAAAACATATTCTGAATCAAAACATTATAGGGGTGAGAAAAATGGACGGCTTAGTTTCCTAGGCAAACAAACAAGATATGTGAAGTCTCACATCAGAAGTATAATATGAAGAGGCTTTGAAAATGTAGCTTCACAAGATCTGCCATGGCCCATTGCCATTTGGGATGTGTTGGATTATCCTCCCCATCATCCTCAGCCTGAAGTTATGATGGTAGCCAGATGGGCATTTTAATGCTGCCCTCAGGCAAGCTGAAAAATGGTGGCTGAAATCTTCATGCCCAGGTTTGCACACTGTTCTAATTATTCACAGTTCCATTCATACCCAGTTTTATGGATTAAACCGTTCTATCTGAGTTAGCATCCCATGAAGAGCTAAAACGAAGCCATTCATATGGCTCCCGAGTTATTTCAGTGAAGAACAGGAACAGGGAATTTTGCACTGTATCCTGCCAAAGGAGAGCTACAGTCCTTGCTTTCTGTATGTTTCTTTGTTGTACTGCAAAGGTGTTTGGATTTGCCAGTTGCCAAGAGGGGACCCAGGAGTGGCAGCTGGTCTTATTGACAGTCTCTCTATTCAAGCAGACACAAAAAAGGGGGACTGAATTGTGTAATGTTAACAAACCATTTATTTATTTAAAAAAAAAAAACTTTTTTCCCTTTGCAGTGACAACAGATTCCTGACACCTCTGTTCTTTCTCAGGTGCACCATGCTAATGTGTAACAACAAAAAAAAAAAAAAATAGGAACCTGTCAAACAGGTCTTTGTGACCTCTTGATGGAAAACCTCCAACTGGCCCTGAGTCACACTTACAGCTACCCATCCCAGGCCCAGGCTGAGGAACAAGGAACATGTAGCCAGCCAAAGCAACTCAAGAGAAGATACCTGCAAAAGGGCTCCACTTCATGCCTTCTGCGTTCAGTGCAGAGTAGCTGGGGGGGGGGGGGCTGTATATTGCAAAGGATTTTGCTTTCAAGGTCTTCCATCATTCTTTTCTTCGAGTTAATGCTTTGAGGGGAATTAATGTCCCCAAATCTGGCATGTAAATGTAACAAAAGTTTTCTTCCCTGCAGGCTTTTTCTATGTGTTTTCTATGTTTTTCTGTCTTATATTCAGGGCTCTAGTCTAGATAATTTCTTTCCAATTTCTCATGGTGGTGTTTTGGGCTGACTTACACTTGGGAGTTTCTGGTGGCTGGCTAACTGTTAACATCTCTCCATTAATCTGCAGCCTCTCTGGCGGCTTATACTTTTCACTATGAAGGGCTGCTGGGAATAGTTCCTTCAGGAAAATCTCCTTTGAGATTTAAGCTGGGGAAACTACAGACCATCGAACAGATGATCTTACCATAAAAAAACTGGACCTGAAGGCAGGACAAGAAGCAACGGATGGAAACTAACCAAGGAGAGAAACAACCTGGAACTAAGGAGAAATTTCCTGACAGTTAGGACAATTAATCAGTGGAACAACCTGCCTCCAGAACTTGTGAGTGCTCCAACACTAGAAGTTTTTAAGAAGAGACTGGACAGCCATTTGTCTGAAATGGTATAGGGTTTCCTGCCTGAACAGGGGGTTGGACTAGATGACCTCCAAGGTCCTTTCCAACTTTATTATTATTGTTGCTGTTGTTGTTAAATTCTCTCAACTTGCAACCACAATTGTGATCAGACATTCCATTGCTAAGCAAAGCAGTGGTTAACTGAGCTATGTCTGGTTTTATGACCTTTTTGCCACAGTTGTTAAGCGAACTGTTGCACTTGTTAAGTGAATCATGCAGTTATTAAGCCAATCCAGCTTCCCACATTGACTTTGTCTATTGCAAGCCAACTGGAAAGGTTGCAAATAGCGATCACATGACCCTGGGATGCTGCAACCATTATAAAGGCATGCCAATTGCCAAGCACCTGAATTCTGATTATGTGACCATGGGATGCAGAAAACCAGTCACTTTTTTTCAGTGCCCTTATAACTTTGAACAGTCACTAAACAAATAGTTGTAAGTCAAGGACTACCAGTAATACCGTGTTTCCCTGAAAATAAGACCCAACTGGAAAATAAGACTTAACATGATTTTTCAGGACCCTCGTAATATAAGCCCCACCCCAAAAATAAGCCCCATTAAATTAAGATTGTCAGCAAGACAGATGCATTTAGTATCGTATTTCCCTGAAAATAAGACCTAACTGGAAAATAACTCCTAATGAGTCTTTTGGAGTAAAAATTAATATAAGACCCAGTCTTATTTTGGGGAAAACACGGTAATAATCTTCTACTTCCAAAATAGCAAGAACAACTCCTAACGCAAAAATTCTATTCTATTCCATTCCATTCCATTCCGAGGTATCTCCAGAGGACGGGGGGGTTCAATGATGAAAGGAGCATTGTGTCATCATTGTGCAAGGCCCACTCCATTGCTACATCCCTCAAGACAATCTGCGCAGTACAAAAAGCATGGCATTTCCGTCACCACTGTGCCCCACTGGTCTAGAGATTCTGATGAAAACATCAGCTCCTGCTGATGCCTCTGCCCTGCCTGCCCAGGTTCAAGAGGAAGCAACATTGGCTTGGGCTGATCCAAAGCTCAACCGTGCACAAGGTAACATGTGAAACGCAGATCCTGCATATGAGCCGCTGGCTCAACCCATCCGGTCTTCGCCCTCTAATGGGCACCTCCACCCAGTGAGGACACATGAAATGTATGCTTTTTTAAAAAAAAAAAAAAAAACCAAACCAAAAATACTACTACTACTACTAATAATATATTTGAGCATAAAAGAAGATCCACCCTCCTGTTACTAAGGCATCTCAAGAAGCTTGCCAGACAGATTCTACCATGACACAGCAGCGGATGTGCTCTGACTGACAAGTTCTGGCAGTGGGAGAAGGCTGAGTCTTTGGAGAAGGTCGATGATTAGAGATAGGAAACTTGCAAAATGTTTTGGTCAAAGGGACTCCTGTTATATCTCTTCCGCACTTGAACAATGCATAGATCTTCTCTCTCTCTCTCTCTCTCTCTCATATATTCAGGCACAGGATTTTATATATAGCAAAAGGAATGGGACCCTTGCAGTGGTGGGATTCAGCCTGTTTCCACCACTTTGGCAGAACCGGTAGCTAATTTTTTGTTGTCCAGCCCCAGAATGAACTTCCAGAAGCGTATCCACATAGAGAACCAGTTGTTCACATATTTGAATCCCACCACTGGGCCCTTGCCTTATTTTCATGTAACCTTCAGCACACTTTCAAAGGACACACATTCTTTTAAAGCTTAAGTGAAAAGAAAATAGAAAAACAACTCCAGGAGGAGGAGGAGGAGGAGGAGGAGGAGGAGGAGGAGGAGGAGGAGGAGGAGGAGGAGGAGGAGGAGGAGGAGGAGGAGGAGGAGGAGGAGGAGAGGGAAAAAAAGGAAAAAGGAAGGCAAGAATAAACTAGCCTGAAGAGGAGGCATCAGGAGTAGAAAACTGGGGTAGAAAAAAACTAAAGGTAAAACTTCCAGAAACATGTGTGGGTGCCCCTAATGAGCACCTTAATCTTCTCAGGCAGGCTTTGCCCCTGTTAGCAACTGACAAACAGGGTGGTGGCACAGATCTGCACCCTACCTGGAGACCTCAGACCAGCAGAAACATCCACACCGGATCATATAATGCAGGTTTCCCAACCTTGATATGTGAATAGTCAACCCACAGTGAGATCATTGGCCTCCTGGAATTGTGGATGTTCCATCACTGGACGTTTTCAAGAAAAAACTGGACAACTCTTTGCCTGGGATGGTATAAGGACTCCTCCTTTGGATAAGGGGTTGGACTAGAACACCTCTATGATTCTATGAACTCCCAGAATTCCCCAGCTAGCTATGCTAGTCTTGGAATTCTGGGAATTGAAGTCCACATGTTTTGCCAATCCTGATGTAATTCATGGCTTTGTCTTCTATCATCCTGCTTCTATCATGCTTGCTTGACCAGGGCTGGGCAACCTGAGGTTCTCCAGAGATTACTAAACTACAACTCCTACCAGAAGAAGTTATAGGTGACCAATAATGAAACATGCTGGTAGGTTTAGTTCAGTGATAGCTGGACAGCCAGTAACTTTGGTCTATTGGTTAAAGTATTAGGCTAGAAACCAGAAGATCATGAGTTTTAGTCCTACCTTAAGTATAAAAGCCAGTCACTCTCTCTTAGTCCAACCCACCTCACAGGATTGTTGTTGGGGAAAGTAGGAAGAAAAAAGAGCATTAGGAATGTTCGCTACCTTGAGTTATTTATTTAAAAAAAATAGTGAAGTTGGTAAATAAATAAAAAATAAACAAAAGTGCCACTTTCTCAGTTCTTTGCTTGACATGATATGTCCCAGTTCTAACTTGACCTTGTACCACATCCAGGCAAGTATGACGGACTTTTGGCATTTTGCTCATGGGGGAGAGCTGCTTAATTAGACTGTACAAGAGATTCCTAGGGACATTTACCTCCAGAAAATACCAACTATCAGCAAAAGCAACTAATTACAAGCCCTTCTGCAGACAAATGCGGCAGGGGGGAGCCAAGATAGGATCCAAAATGGCTGCTCTGTCCAGCCAAGGCATCCACTGGACGCAGGGCTCCCATCAACGGCTTCTTCTCCCTTTTAATTAAAAGCAAACACTGAGCAGGAAGCCTAGCAGGAAACCTAGTCAGTGCAGCAGACCACAAAAATTTTTTTTAAAAAAAAGGCCAAGTAGAAAGTAAATACAAGCGAAAAAATTCAGGAAGTTTGCACTTTCTTGAGCTACTTGAATCCCTTGTGGGCCAACAACAGAGTGAGGGAGGAAAAGTTTCAAACAGCCATCAGCCCCACTGAAGGATGGGCACCGATGATACAGGAGAAGAGCTGTTTATGTCCTTTGTATGTGGGTTTTCTGAAAGGTTACATAGACAACCTTATCAATCACTTTCAGGACCAACCTGGGTACTCTCTCTCTCTCTCTCTCTCTCTCTCTCTCTCTCTCTCTCTCTCTCTCTCTGCAACCCCAAACCAATTAAATAAAAAAATTGTTTTGTAGATCTTTCTTTTTTTATTATTCAGATGGTCCATTTGGATAATGAGAGGCCATCAATGAGTCTTCCCAGATGGGCTACTTTTGAGAAGGGTAGGCTCTGAAGCCTCATAATCCTTGAGCCACACAAGGCCATGAGGGTTGGGTTATGGCAGAGTTGAAGTCCATGGCATTTGAAGGGTGGCACAAGAGGCTTGAAAAGCCAGCAATTCCCACTTCCTGACTTTCTCACGTGTGACTCTGGGCAAGTCACATAATTCTCCCGTGAGTCAATAGGAGGTGACCTTATCTATCCACCTGGGCAGAAAGGAGGCCTTCTACCTGCCCCTTGGCAAGCTGCCACATTATGTAAGTGTGGAGTTTAGCCCTGAAAATGTTTACCTCCCAGGATGTTCCAGCCATGCCAGGACACTCCTGATCAGCTCTATAGTTTTGCAAGAATAAACATCTTTTTGATGGCTACTCTTTGCTCTTTGGAAAGGACAAAGGCAGATGTGGGAGGAAAACAAAGGCAAAGTGGGCAGAATATTCATTTACTTATATGTATCCTGTCTTTATTGTTTTAAAAATGACCCAAGGTAGTGAATACATCCGACACACCTTCCTCTTCCTATTTTCTTCACAACAACCTTGTGCAGTGGGTTGGGCTGAGAAAGAGGGACTGGCCCAAGGTCACCCAGTTGGTTTTCCAGGCTAAGTTGGGACCTGAACTCACAACCCCCAGCTTTCTAGTCAGTCGCCTTAAGCAATAGAGTAAACTGACTCCTTGTATCATATTTGCATCATGCTTGGAAGGGGGTGGTGTAGTCTCAAAATGAGGCCCAGAATGGACTTCCGGAAGTAGCATCCACACAGAGAACCGGTTGTTCACATATTTGAATCCCACCAGTGCTCACTAAATGGTCACTAAATGAATGGTTGTTAAATCAAGGACTACCTTTATGAGTCTGTGAACAAAACTGAATCCATCTGCAGCCCTAGGGCTCTAGGTTGATCACCCAGGTTTAAGCTATATGGACTCTGATGGGACCCCAAATGGCAATGTCAAAGTGAGATGCTATGGAGCATATGCGGATACCAACACTTCACTGGGGAGGTTAGTACTGTCACTTCCTGAGTCCCTCATCTTGCTGCTCCGACTTCTTGCTACTGTTTGCCCATCCTCTCCAAGCAGGCAAGCAGAATCACAATGAAAAGGAAGTACTAACAACTTTCTCCCTCTGGTCAGCTCTTGTGATTGTCCCCCCAAAGGAGAACAAGTGTCAGCAGCAAGGACACAATGGATATTACCGAAAGGTGGCCATATTTTTATGCAAGGATATCTAGTCCTTGATTTACAACATTTAATTTAGTGACCAAAGTTACAACAGCAACTGAAAAAAAGAGACTTATGACTGCTTTTCACACTTACGACCATTGTAGCATCCCCA